TTTCGTCTGAGTACGATGGTTTTGACACGTTGTACTCTCTTGAATTATGTTGTTCGTACATTTTCAGTAACAGAAGTTTTTTAAATTGAATGTGATAGGTGGGAATATCATCTGGTGCTGCTACTGCTGCTGCAATTAGGATTGCAAAGCGGCCAGAGTATGCTGGAAAACTCGTTGTTGTAAGTCCTTGTACAATTTCAGTATCCTTATCTGCCTATGATAAGGCCAACCTAATAAAATCTTATAGTTGGGAAGCATCTTCAAACGACAACAGTGGTTGGTTGTGAGTTTCATAGATTTTGTCATCTGCTGATAGGCATTAGCTTTTCTGGCAGTAACGAGATTTTAAGACCCTTTTGCTCACTGTATAAGCATGGTATTATTCAGATTATCGCAAAACATTTTCCAGATTTACTTTCTGAATGCCACACTAGATGTAAGAAAATATACAGTGACATTGGTTCCTTTTATTTTTAACTCTTATTTACCTAAATATGAGGAGAGTTGGCCTAGTTGGTGAAATATATTTGCAGCATCTTGAAACCTAAGTGTACAAATACGTATGAGTTAATGAGTTGGGCTCAGGCTTAGGTCGTTACATAGGCACTCGAAAAAGGAGACAGGAGCTATATGAGTTCTCCGTGTTCTGATGCACAAACTCTAAAACTTTGTGCAATATGCCCATTAACCAGATACTTTCAAAGTATGATTCGCTTTTAGAATCTAAGGTAGTAAGGCGTGTGCCAGCATTCGTCATTGTAAATTTTAATTAAAGGGTGATATGAGAAGCCATTTCGGTCTTGTCCTGTTGGTTTTGATTAGTTCACATTTTAGGCTTTGAATTATGCATCTCTCTCACGCACGCACACACACAATGCTCATAGCGTTTCTTCCGCAGAGAGTAAGGGGCTCAAAATGGTACCTACCTTGGTTATTTATTTTTACTTGGGTGTGATGGCGGTACCTGTGGTGGGGATTCACACAATACCATGGTTATTTAACAATTAATGTTGGTAACTATTAAGAGCACCGATGCTTAAATCTGTTTTGATGAGTTCCACTTAAGGTGGTAATTCGCTGCTCAATTGTGGTACTTTCCAACAAAAAATTATTTCATAGAATTACGTGATATAGAATACTTACAACCCTGTGGTGATCTTGGTAAGCATGTGCATCGCTCGGTGAACGAATTAGAATATATGGATTTGTTTATTTCAGCGGAGTTTGAAGGTGGTGTAGAGACTGATACATGTGTTGGTGGTGGATTTGATTTTTTTGTTATTTGTTTTGATGGTTGATAAAGGTCTAATTCTCCCGTAGCCTTTGATCAGTGATTACTTACCTGCTTAGACTCAAAACCTATATTTGATCAGATGTTAAACTACTCGCAGAAAAGTAGATTATAAGGAATTTGACGGCCGCTTGGGGAAATTAATTCACAATACCTCCTATTTTTACCAATGTCTGCAGGATTAATGCATGTTTCTTGGAGTGAAATAAAGATGCTGGACCTTGCTGGTACTTGTTATTACCATTTTTGTCGTCATCAGTGTCAAAAGGACATATGCAGAAATTAGGATGTTAAGATGTGCTGTTATGGTTGCTAATGATCTAATTGCTTGCGATCTTCTAGGAGATCTAGAAATGAATTGAATGCATATAGCCAATACCAAATTGTTTGTGTGAATTCAAATATTCCATCGACTGAACTATTTTTCAACTTGAATGCAGGTGATTTTCCCAAGTTTTGGTGAGCGGTATCTTTCCTCTGTGCTTTTTGAATCCGTGAGGCGAGAGGCAGAGAACATGACATTCGAGTAAACACTTTGCTGGCTTTCGATCCCCTCCCGTGTTTTTGAGCAAGACCATACATGTCAAACCCTATTTCAGTTTTCTTCAAATATTTCAGATGACATTGTTGAAAATAATTTACTTCTGTTGTTACTTGGTTCAATAAAAATGTGTCTTAATTTTTTTCATTGTCTTCTCTCTTTAATTTTTTTCATTTTCATATTGGATGTGTTTGTGGCCGATCGATACTGCTCATCATCATCTAGCTATTGCATTTATTTTTCTTGGATTTCAAGTTAGTAACTTATATTTTTTCCTTTCTTTTCTTCGTTTCGAATCGAAAATAAAAGAATTGAGTAAATCAAAAATTCAAAGGAGGCTCATGACTAGAGGGAAAGATGCGCGAGTAACGGTGATCTTCGAACCTGAACTCTATTTACATAGGATTCATTATTTCTATCGATTTACGCTTACGGTGCATGCATCGGTATACAAATTAGTGACATACAAATAATAAATATATAGGCTTAGTTTAGGCATTATAAATAAACATACTAGTAATAACACTTCTACTTATGGGGTTCTAGTAAGGTAAAGTTATTAATAACCTTTATTATAAATAATTAATGTTAAACTCTCCAATCTTTCACATATCTCAGTGCTACATTGTTCAATGAATAAAAATGTATTGTAACTTTATTGAATAACGTAATAGTCTAACTATCGATAAATAAAAATAAACTTCAACTTGATTGAATAATTTGACAATAATTATTGCACAAAGTGTTCAATTGAATTGAAGAACACACAATTTTCAATTGAATTGAGAAGAATTGTTAAGTGATTTGACATTTTGCTATTTGACTAAAAGTGATATTGCAATTTTAACATTTATATTGGCTCACACGGGGCATGGATTTGTACATTTAAATAAGTTGAGGATCTATAACCTCACTTTTGAAGATTGATCGCTTATAATTATATGACGTGAAAGGTTAGGGGGTTCCATCTCTAATTTCCTTGGGAATATTTGTGTGTATAACCAGACAAACGAGCAAAACAGGACCAAGTATAGTTTATGTTGGATGATTTTTGTGAATAGTGACGCCGAAATAAGTATAATGATGGTGACAAAGTCGAGGCAAGAGTTGAACTCTTTGTCCTTAAGTCGAATTTGCCCCGCAACGGTGCCTACGGATTTCGGCAATCGACTCCCAAGATACAACGGCTACACTTGTGTTTGTAGCACTCCAAAACACAAGTACAACGAACCAAATTTAGGCTTATGTACTCCAAGGATGAAATGAAAGAAAATCAAAATAAATGAAATGATTTTTGATTTTGGACAGAAGAGAGGATGAGAGACGTTTTGCATATCAAATTGTGTGGAATAGGACACCCAAAGGGTCCTATTTATAGACCATAAAAGGGTGTGGACGAAATGGTTGAGGCCAAACCATGCACCCTTTCCAAACAATGCACCTTTATGAAAATGTGTCTATTCACTGATTTTCGTCATTTTTCTTTATTTTTCATTCATCCGATATTGATTTTCGAAATGCCAAATATACCCTTCAATACATGCAGAGAAATCAAAATTCCCGTTTGTGCGCCCCGAAGCGGCGAAGTGGCAAACAATTTTGCTTAAACGGATTGAGTCGAGCTTTTGAGTATTTGACCGAAGTCGATACGAACTTTAATCGATTTTTCAATTCTCGATTTATTTAACCAATATCCAACAGTTTATATATTTGATTTCTATTTTATGTGGGCAGTTAGCACTTGGCAGCACATAAGTGGGCGTCCGAAATTAGTACTAACCCGTGGATCGTGGTACATTTTTGACTCTTTAGAGGACAATAATGTTAAATTGGTGTTAGAGTATCAGTTCGGTGACCACACTTGATAAGTTTAATTAAATGAATTATATCACATTAGTATGATAAATTTCTTTTTCCTTTCTTCTTTTCTATTTTTATGTACTAGATATTCTTCACTTAATTTTTTACAATTTACCTTCATTTGACGATGTGGTCATTTAATTTTTTGTAATTTACCTCCACTCTTTCTCTATATCATCTTTCATAAACGTGTGGTGTGCAACTAGTACAATCCACGTCCCGTTAAGGATGCCTCCTCTCTTCATTCCCATTTTGATGGTCGCATGTATAGCAATTCATATTTTCGTTTATCTATTGTAAAAGAACACTTTTGTCCATTCAACTTGAAATTGTCTTACACAAAATTACTTATTGTAATAGAACAATTTTGTCAATCGTTATCTAACTTAAAAAATGTTTGAAATTTGTCTCACTATTTGATATTTTCCTTCATACAATATTCATATCATTGTCTTTAGAAACAGCTAGTTACCTCGGTGGTTAACTAACTCTAATTACAAAATCAACACAAAAGAATTTTTTTTGCCCCCAAAGTGTTCATTATCCACAAATTCACTATGTTTTGTTTCATCTCGTATTAATTGTGTATATATGTCATAAAAAATAAATGGATATAGCCTAAATTTTTTAGAAGTGCTTAGTTATTTGATAATTTTGGAATCAAATTCTATATAGATAGCCTATCAAAGATTATTATATTTGTACCTTACAATTTGTAATAATGAAATAGCCAAGATTGAGCTTGTTAATCGAATAAGTTCTCACCACGAGCTTGGATCAAATATTAGGGTTTTTGAAAGAGTATGTACATTTTAAATAAAGATACTTGAGTCATGTTTAAGACGTCCAATCTTTAAGGATATTTAATGGACATCTAAATTGATACTTAGTATTGATAGAGATGAATAACGTTACTCTACATTTAAACATATGAATCTTGAAATTTATTCAAGCTTCCTTTTTTGTTTTTCAAATTGTAACCTTATAATACAAACAATGCACTTCCAATAATTGTTGAGGTGGAAACCACGTCCATCTTTTTAAGAGATTGAATTAGTTGGAGTAACTATAATTGGGATCAAACTAAAGTATAAGTACCTAATTGAATAAAATTGAAATATAGTTACCTAATTGACATTTGGTTGAAAGTACAATCACTGTTGATGAAATTATCCTCAAACAATTAATTGAGTTTCAATAGAAATAATAATAATTTATCATTTTTGAAGCATATTACCGAGTCCCGACATGCTCTGTCGTCTGATCTTGTCAAAAGGTTTAATTGCCTAATTTGCGTGTACCAAACGCCGTCGTATCCTCTCTCGATCACACAGTCTTCAAATATTAGTATCCAGTCGCCTCGTTTAGCCACGCAAAAAATATAAAAATTTTGCATTGACGAAAGAAAAAGATAAAAATTACAAAGAAAAATGGAGAGTAATACTAACAGCATTACGTGCTCCGGCGATCGGCCGACGGTGATGGTGACCAACGATGACGGAATTGATGCTCCCGGCTTGCGTGCTCTCGTAAGCGTCCTCGTCTCTTCGAATCGCTTCAACGTCCTCGTCTGCGCTCCTGACTCGTATGTATATACACGCAGATATTGATGCCTATATTCTTTCGTTTATATGAATACCTACTGCATATATTCGTGCTTAAGGAGGGATTATATTTTATGCAAGTCAACTCTAGTTCTAGTTCTAGTTCTAGTTCTTTGAGTGGTGATATGGTCCATTAAAGTATTTGTAAGTTTGTTACGTGACGTGATTGTAGCTGTTTTAGTTCTTTTTCACTCTCTCTAGTATTGATTTTATTTTATCTTATCTTTTTATTATTATAATTTTTTCTGGTGATCATTATTGTGTTGAGTTGCAAATCAGCTTATAAAAGAAAAAGTAAAATCATCACACTCACTTTTGCCTGGACATGCTTTCTGTATGTGTAGCGCATGCATTTGTATATAATTTAGCTTGTTTAGTAGTTTTATGTTCAGTCATGTGAATCTGACTTTACATTCGAACTTTCATATTCGAAAGTGTGTTAGCTTGTTTTTTCTCCACTCTTTATTATTATTGTTTTTTTTTTTGTTTGTTTGGTGAATTGTTATTTAGCCACCGTTTGTTTCCAAATATGACCGTTATTCATCACATCAAATCACTAAATTTGAATTTTTTTATCTCTTTTGTGAGTGAGGCCCGTAACGAATATATTTTTCATTCTTCAAAAAATGGGAAACAAACGGGTTTGGAGAATGTGTCATTAAAAACTGGGAAAACGTTTTGAATTTACGTGTAAAGTTATTTTGTTGGAAGAATGTGTGGTTAAAAATGAGTTTTTGAAGAATGTGGCTCGAACTCGGGCTTTATCTGTCTAATTACTAGTTAAAAAAAAAAAAATAGAGGCAAAAGACTTGAATTTTTGGAGAAATTCGAGGTTACAATTTCCTTCTTTTTTCATCTAGCTTTATTTCATTGGCATTTAACATTCAGTATTGCTTTTCGTCTGTGATCCTATCAGATGCTCTATTCCTGTCAATCTAGTATAATGACCATCTGAAATTTATTTCCAATTATGAAAATACCTTCGAGGTGATGCCTCAATGTTATTTCTTACATGTGCTGTTTCTTTTTCAGCGAAAAATCTGCGGTTAGCCATGGTGCCACTTTGAGAACTGTTTCTGCTAAGCCAGTGGAAATCAGTGGAGCAACTGCTTTTGCAGTTTCTGGTCAGTTGCAATTGTCAGTAATTTTTTGTCATGTATATTTCCTGTGTCTTGTGTTTTGAACACTCAAAAAGAATGGAATTTTTGACGTATAAAAGAAGGAAGAAACTTTTGAAATTAGGAAGTTGAAGAAATATAAGCAATATAGTCGATGATTGTAATAATTGATGTTAGAAAAATTGCATTAGGCTGTTAATAGGGATGAGAATATAAATCTTCTTCACTGTGGCTGATCTCTAAGTAATGACAAATCATGGGAGCATAGAGCAGATGTGTATATATTTCTCTCTTTTTTCCTGAATGTTGTTATCTTTCTGAGAATGTTCCAAGATCTATTTTTCATTTCAAATTAAAAACTTCTTATCCTTTTCAACTTTGTGAAATCATGAACTTGCAAAAGTTATGACTGTCCGTAATAGAATGTGCTGAGATACATGCCAACCTTCAAGTAGCATATATATGGGTCCTTGTTCCTTGTCTTGCTAAGCAAACCATCTAGCATTTCATTGGTTTTCAGTATGTGCTTGGTGAAGCTTAATATTCACTACCACTTATGTGAAGACATATATCTTCATGCTGCATTTCGGGATATTTCCCATGAAAAATTAACATTCTGCATGCATACATAATGATTCAAAACCTCAATTTAATTTTTAATTTATCCTCATTATTTGTTTATGATGTGAAGGGGATACCAAATTTACTTGTTGATCTTGCAGGTGCTAAATTCTGCAACTTCTTGGCATTTAACATATTATTTTCTGATTCTCTCATGCTATAGATATAAACTACCAAATTCTTTCATGTTCAGAATTACATTCTATACTCGATGTAGCTTAACATTCACAAACACTTATGTGACGACCACGTGTTGCATTTTTACGATTACTTCTCATCCAAATATGAAGAGTTGTCATTGACCTTTTTTTTCCTGTAAACATGTTGGTTTCGAAATTTATTTCAAATCAATTTTCTATTTAATCTCATTTTTTAAATACAACTTGAATCCATATGCAGATGCCAAATTTTGCATCTCCTCGGCATTTAACACTTGCTTTGATTCTATAATACTGAAGAATCAGAGCTCAATAAGCTCCAATGAGCGATTCAATCCGATTAGGTCTCATTAATAAGCTCCAATGAGCGATTCAATCCGATTAGGTCTCATTAATAAGCTCCAATGAGCGATTCAATCCGATTAGGTCTCATTAATAAGCTCCAATGAGCGATTCAATCCGATTAGGTCTCATTAATAAGCTCCAATGAGCGATTCAATCCGATTAGGTCTCATTAATAAGCTCCAATGAGCGATTCAATCCGATTATAAGTCTCAATTAATGAGCAACAGATTGCAAGATTGGTCCGTTCAAACGAGCCACCATCTCGCGGGGGCGTGTTAAGGGATAAAAATCACACATCAGTTAAATACCAAAATATTGACCAACTTAAAATATTGGGGTACTCCTTTTAACATGGTTGACCTTATTAAAAAGGACCCCAAGCCTTAACACCAGGTTCAACCTGAAAGCCAAGCACAAGAAAATCTAACAGTAGCAGAATTAAATGAATGTATATTAATCTATGCACTGTTATAGATGATAATTTCATTTAAGCTAAACTGTTAATTATTTACTATAAGCTTAGATAGCAAGACCTAGTTATTCCAGGTCATTATTGATGGAAATGGAGAAGGGAAATAGCTCCAGATACCACAGACTAGTCAGCATTTTAATACTCCCATCGTTCTTGGTACCAATCCACTGAATAGTCCTGTCCATGTATGTATATATATGAAATAGTGGTCCTATTGGAATCAAAGCATGCTTTTTCACATATTTGAAGCATAATCTTAACCTTATAATACTTCAGATTTGGCTATTGGATGCAAATTATCAATCCTCTTGATAATATTTCTAAGTCTAGTTATAAGGCGTGTGCACTAAACCTTATATTCAGTCAATATGCATTCAAGCTTCTGCTTATTGCCTAAAAAGCAATTCTATTAAACAAGAAAAAATGAGAAAGAGAGCAGAACTAGAACCATGAAGATATCCAATAAATATTCCCTCTTAATTTTTGTCTTAACTTTTTTTATGTCCATCCAGAAAATCTCCAATCAAACAGATACTATAACTACTACACAGATCCTTAGGGATGGCAAGACCATAGTTTCATCGGGTGGCATCTTTGAGTTGGGATTTTTCAGCCCTGGAAATTCCAAGAATAGATACGTGGGCATGTGGTACAAGAAAATAAAAGTTAAGACGGTAGTATGGGTTGCCAACAGAGAAATTCCAATCTCAAATACATCAGGAATAGTCTTAAAGGTTATCGTGCCAGGACTTCTGGTTCTTCTAAACGAATCCAACGGTGGCATCATATGGTCATCTAATACATCCCGACATGTGAAAACTCCAGTTGCAATATTGCTTGACTCAGGAAACTTAGTTTTGAAAGATGCAAATGATGATGGCGAAGGGAATTTCCTCTGGGAGAGCTTTAATAATCCGACTGATACATTGTTACCAGGAATGAAGCTTGGTTGGAACTTTATAATTGGTATGGAGGTCTATCTATCACCGTGGAATAACAATGATGATCCATCTTCCGGAGATTTTACATATCACTTAGATACTAGTGGTTATCCACAACTTGTTATGAAAAGAGGTTCAGATGTGGTGTTTAAAACTGGACCTTGGAATGGACTACGCTATAGTGGGACGCCAAACTTGAGGAAAAATTCTATTTACAAATTTGGAGTAGTTATAAACAAAAACGAGGCATACTATGCTTACGAATACGTATGAGTTAATGAGTTGGGCTCAGGCTTAGGTCGTTACATAGGCACTCGAAAAAGGAGACAGGAGCTATATGAGTTCTCCGTGTTCTGATGCACAAACTCTAAAACTTTGTGCAATATGCCCATTAACCAGATACTTTCAAAGTATGATTCGCTTTTAGAATCTAAGGTAGTAAGGCGTGTGCCAGCATTCGTCATTGTAAATTTTAATTAAAGGGTGATATGAGAAGCCATTTCGGTCTTGTCCTGTTGGTTTTGATTAGTTCACATTTTAGGCTTTGAATTATGCATCTCTCTCACGCACGCACACACACAATGCTCATAGCGTTTCTTCCGCAGAGAGTAAGGGGCTCAAAATGGTACCTACCTTGGTTATTTATTTTTACTTGGGTGTGATGGCGGTACCTGTGGTGGGGATTCACACAATACCATGGTTATTTAACAATTAATGTTGGTAACTATTAAGAGCACCGATGCTTAAATCTGTTTTGATGAGTTCCACTTAAGGTGGTAATTCGCTGCTCAATTGTGGTACTTTCCAACAAAAAATTATTTCATAGAATTACGTGATATAGAATACTTACAACCCTGTGGTGATCTTGGTAAGCATGTGCATCGCTCGGTGAACGAATTAGAATATATGGATTTGTTTATTTCAGCGGAGTTTGAAGGTGGTGTAGAGACTGATACATGTGTTGGTGGTGGATTTGATTTTTTTGTTATTTGTTTTGATGGTTGATAAAGGTCTAATTCTCCCGTAGCCTTTGATCAGTGATTACTTACCTGCTTAGACTCAAAACCTATATTTGATCAGATGTTAAACTACTCGCAGAAAAGTAGATTATAAGGAATTTGACGGCCGCTTGGGGAAATTAATTCACAATACCTCCTATTTTTACCAATGTCTGCAGGATTAATGCATGTTTCTTGGAGTGAAATAAAGATGCTGGACCTTGCTGGTACTTGTTATTACCATTTTTGTCGTCATCAGTGTCAAAAGGACATATGCAGAAATTAGGATGTTAAGATGTGCTGTTATGGTTGCTAATGATCTAATTGCTTGCGATCTTCTAGGAGATCTAGAAATGAATTGAATGCATATAGCCAATACCAAATTGTTTGTGTGAATTCAAATATTCCATCGACTGAACTATTTTTCAACTTGAATGCAGGTGATTTTCCCAAGTTTTGGTGAGCGGTATCTTTCCTCTGTGCTTTTTGAATCCGTGAGGCGAGAGGCAGAGAACATGACATTCGAGTAAACACTTTGCTGGCTTTCGATCCCCTCCCGTGTTTTTGAGCAAGACCATACATGTCAAACCCTATTTCAGTTTTCTTCAAATATTTCAGATGACATTGTTGAAAATAATTTACTTCTGTTATTACTTGGTTCAATAAAAATGTGTCTTAATTTTTTTCATTGTCTTCTCTCTTTAATTTTTTTCATTTTCATATTGGATGTGTTTGTGGCCGATCGATACTGCTCATCATCATCTAGCTATTGCATTTATTTTTCTTGGATTTCAAGTTAGTAACTTATATTTTTTCCTTTCTTTTCTTCGTTTCGAATCGAAAATAAAAGAATTGAGTAAATCAAAAATTCAAAGGAGGCTCATGACTAGAGGGAAAGATGCGCGAGTAACGGTGATCTTCGAACCTGAACTCTATTTACATAGGATTCATTATTTCTATCGATTTACGCTTACGGTGCATGCATCGGTATACAAATTAGTGACATACAAATAATAAATATATAGGCTTAGTTTAGGCATTATAAATAAACATACTAGTAATAACACTTCTACTTATGGGGTTCTAGTAAGGTAAAGTTATTAATAACCTTTATTATAAATAATTAATGTTAAACTCTCCAATCTTTCACATATCTCAGTGCTACATTGTTCAATGAATAAAAATGTATTGTAACTTTATTGAATAACGTAATAGTCTAACTATCGATAAATAAAAATAAACTTCAACTTGATTGAATAATTTGACAATAATTATTGCACAAAGTGTTCAATTGAATTGAAGAACACACAATTTTCAATTGAATTGAGAAGAATTGTTAAGTGATTTGACATTTTGCTATTTGACTAAAAGTGATATTGCAATTTTAACATTTATATTGGCTCACACGGGGCATGGATTTGTACATTTAAATAAGTTGAGGATCTATAACCTCACTTTTGAAGATTGATCGCTTATAATTATATGACGTGAAAGGTTAGGGGGTTCCATCTCTAATTTCCTTGGGAATATTTGTGTGTATAACCAGACAAACGAGCAAAACAGGACCAAGTATAGTTTATATATTTGATTTCTATTTTATGTGGGCAGTTAGCACTTGGCAGCACATAAGTGGGCGTCCGAAATTAGTACTAACCCGTGGATCGTGGTACATTTTTGACTCTTTAGAGCACAATAATGTTAAATTGGTGTTAGAGTATCAGTTCGGTGGCCACACTTGATAAGTTTAATTAAATGAATTATATCACATTAGTATGATAAATTTCTTTTTCCTTTCTTCTCTTCTATTTTTATGTACTAGATATTCTTCACTTAATTTTTTATAATTTACCTTCATTTGACGATGTGGTCATTTAATTTTTTGTAATTTACCTCCACTCTTTCTCTATATCATCTTTCACAAACATGTGGTGTGCAACTAGTACAATCCATGTCCCGTTAAGGATGCTCCTCTCTTCATTCCCATTTTGATGGTCGCATGTATAGCAATTCATATTTTCGTTTATCTATTGTAAAAGAACACTTTTGTCTATTCAACTTGAAATTGTCTTACACAAAATTACTTATTGTAACAGAACAATTTTGTCAATCGTTATCTAACTTAAAAAATGTTCGAAATTTGTCTCACTATTTGATATTTTCCTTCATACAATATTCATATCATTGTCTTTAGAAACAACTAGTTACCTCGGTGGTTAACTAACTCTAATTACAAAATCAACACAAAAGAATTTTTTTGCCCCCAAAGTGTTCATTATCCACAAATACACTATGTTTTGTTTCATTTCTTATTAATTGTGTATGTATGTCATAAAAAATAAATGGATATAGCCTAAATTTTTTAGAAGTGCTTAGTTATTTGATAATTTTGGAATCAAATTCTATATAGGTAGCCTATCAAAGATTATTATATTTGTACCTTACAATTTGTAATAATGAAATAGCCAAGATTGAGCTTGTTAATCGAATAAGTTCTCACCACGAGCTTGGATCAAATATTAGGGTTTTTAAAAGAGTATGTACATTTTAAATAAAGATACTTGAGTCATGTTTAAGACGTCCAATCTTTAAGGATATATAATGGACATCTAAATTGATACTTAGTATTGATAGAAATAAATAACGTTACTCTATATTTAAGCATATGAATCTTGAAATTTATTCAAGCTCCCTTTTTTGTTTTTCAAATTGTAACCTTATAATACAAACAATGCACTTCCAATAATTGTTGAGGTGGAAACCACGTCCATCTTTTTAAGAGATTGAATTAGTTGGAGTAACTATAATTGGGATCAAACTAAAGTATAAGTACCTAATTGAATAAAATTGAAATATAGTTACCTAATTGACATTTGGTTGAAAGTACAATCACTGTTGATGAAATTATCCTCAAACAATTAATTGAGTTTCAATAGAAATAATAATAATTTATCATTTTTGAAGCATATTACCGAGTCCCGACATGCTCTGTCGTCTGATCTTGTCAAAAGGTTTAATTGCCTAATTTGCGTGTACCAAACGCCGTCGTATCCTCTCTCGATCACACAGTCTTCAAATATTAGTATCCAGTCGCCTCGTTTAAAGTTACCTAATTGACATTTGGTTGAAAGTACAATCACTGTGATGAAATTATCCTCAAACAATTAATTGAGTTTCAATAGAAATAATAATAATTTATCATTTTTGAAGCATATTACCGAGTCCCGACATGCTCTGTCGTCTGATCTTGTCAAAAGGTTTAAGTGCCTAATTTGCGTGTACCAAACGCCGTCGTATCCTCTCTCGATCACACAGTCTTCAAATATTAGTATCCAGTCGCCTCGTTTAGCCACGCAAAAAATATAAAAATTTTGCATTGACGAAAGAAAAAGATAAAAATTACAAAGAAAAATGGAGAGTAATACTAACAGCATTACGTGCTCCGGCGATCGGCCGACGGTGATGGTGACCAACGATGACGGAATTGATGCTCCCGGCTTGCGTGCTCTCGTAAGCGTCCTCGTCTCTTCGAATCGCTTCAACGTCCTCGTCTGCGCTCCTGACTCGTATGTATATACACGCAGATATTGATGCCTATATTCTTTCGTTTATATGAATACCTACTGCATATATTCGTGCTTAAGGAGGGATTATATTTTATGCAAGTCAACTCTAGTTCTAGTTCTAGTTCTTTGAGTGGTGATATGGTCCATTAAAGTATTTGTAAGTTTGTTACGTGACGTGATTGTAGCTGTTTTAGTTCTTTTTCACTCTCTCTAGTATTGATTTTATTTTATCTTATCTTTTTATTATTATAATTTTTTCTGGTGATCATTATTGTGTTGAGTTGCAAATCAGCTTATAAAAGAAAAAGTAAAATCATCACACTCACTTTTGCCTGGACATGCTTTCTGTATGTGTAGCGCATGCATTTGTATATAATTTAGCTTGTTTAGTAGTTTTATGTTCAGTCATGTGAATCTGACTTTACATTCGAACTTTCATATTCGAAAGTGTGTTAGCTTGTTTTTTCTCCACTCTTTATTATTATTGTTTTTTTTTTTGTTTGTTTGGTGAATTGTTATTTAGCCACCGTTTGTTTCCAAATATGACCGTTATTCATCACATCAAATCACTAAATTTGAATTTTTTTATCTCTTTTGTGAGTGAGGCCCGTAACGAATATATTTTTCATTCTTCAAAAAATGGGAAACAAACGGGTTTGGAGAATGTGTCATTAAAAACTGGGAAAACGTTTTGAATTTACGTGTAAAGTTATTTTGTTGGAAGAATGTGTGGTTAAAAATGAGTTTTTGAAGAATGTGGCTCGAACTCGGGCTTTATCTGTCTAATTACTAGTTAAAAAAAAAAAAATAGAGGCAAAAGACTTGAATTTTTGGAGAAATTCGAGGTTACAATTTCCTTCTTTTTTCATCTAGCTTTATTTCATTGGCATTTAACATTCAGTATTGCTTTTCGTCTGTGATCCTATCAGATGCTCTATTCCTGTCAATCTAGTATAATGACTATCTGAAATTTATTTCCAATTATGAAAATACCTTCGAGGTGATGCCTCAATGTTATTTCTTACATGTGCTGTTTCTTTTTCAGCGAAAAATCTGCGGTTAGCCATGGTGCCACTTTGAGAACTGTTTCTGCTAAGCCAGTGGAAATCAGTGGAGCAACTGCTTTTGCAGTTTCTGGTCAGTTGCAATTGTCAGTAATTTTTTGTCATGTATACTTCCTGTGTCTTGTGTTTTGAACACTCAAAAAGAATGGAATTTTTGACGTATAAAAGAAGGAAGAAACTTTTGAAATTAGGAAGTTGAAGAAATATAAGCAATATAGTCGATGATTGTAATAATTGATGTTAGAAAAATTGCATTAGGCTATTAATGGGGATGAGAATATAAATCTTCTTCACCGTGGCTGATCTCTAAGTAATGACAAATCATGGGAGCATAGAGCAGATGTGTATATATTTCTCTAATAATACTGAAGAATATATATATATATATATAAATATATATATATACACATACATACATACATACATACATACATACATACATATACATGTTGAGAATACAAACTGTACTTGGTGCAGCTAAACTAAAAGCACTTATTCAACTAGAGAAGAGATGAGATTAAATAATTTGCTGTAAACTTGATGGATCAAATCTCACTTAATTTTCTATTTAGCCTCTTTTTTCGCATTACAACGTGAAGGGGAGGGCGTATACATCATTCAGATGCCAAATATTGCATCTAGTTGGCATTCAGCATATCATTATTTTATTTTATTTTATTATTTTATTTATTATTATTATTATTTTTTTTTTTGTAATTCTATCATGCTGTAGATAAAAAAATAACACAATATTTCATGTTTATAATACAAACAATAATATTCCGAACTTGTTACAGCTTAATATTTCACAAGCACCTATCTCATGTTACAACTTCCTAGATGATGAATGGAAATAGTGATCAACAAACTTGTAGTCTGAAGAATGCCGAAATTGGAATAATGAATTTGGAAAATCTCCAAAGTTCTCCAAAACTTGACTCAACAAAAACAGGGCCAACAAGAAACCGAAGAAAAGGTTTTCATTCTAGATCCCATAGCGCAATAAAATTACCTTCCTACCCTCAAAACGTTAAAACAATCAAATGATAGAACAAAACAATTGAAATTAAATAAAAGAAGCTAGCCGCGCGTATGTCTGCCCCCGCTCGTGCATAAAGATTTGCATGTTCATTATCAACCATATCCACCTTGGTTCCTATTTATTTCACTCTGTGAAGCTTTGCTTATCCATATTACATTAGGGAAATAATATGATACAGCTTCCAACGTAGATATTGATAATATGATCCAATTTTATATATTTGATGATAGACACAAATGTTCTGTAACAAGTTATTCTCTTTTCAGCAGGGAGATATGCACAACTTATTTTCTACCACTCAATTTTTGCACTACTTGTATTTTTGCAGGAACTCCTGCTGACTGTACTTCTTTGGGAATTTCCAAAGCTCTCTTCCTTTCAGTACCTGATCTGGTAATTATTTCTGCGTCAGCTGTAATAGTTTGATGGTTCTATTTGTTAAATTTCAACTTTTTGCTCTTTCGTTTCTTTAAAACTTAAGCAATATGCCTCCTTCTTGATTGCACATGAGATATATATCTTCGTCCTCATAAAGTGCCTGAATATAGATGTACATTGAAGGGTAATGTTTGGGCAAATAATTGATCTATGTTATCCAGCTTTCCTTTGAAGGACCATATCTTGGCTACTGTTCTCTGTCCTATAATCTATGCGTTGTGCTCTATTTCGAGGGAAAGAGTTGCTTGCAAACTCTCATGTTCAGATATCTGTTTTGCAGGTAATCAGTGGCATTAATATGGGCAGCAACTGTGGTTATCACATGTTAGTAGCATTATCTATCTTGGGCCTCTGTATCTTTGTAGATGAGATGACTTCTTATCTAGTGTTTGCTCCAAAATTCTCTCTCATGTGAAGCACGGGCACTCCCAAACGTTGGCATGTCTGCGTTCATAACGGACACTATGCAGACACCTATACTCCTCATATGCTCTTTATGTGAAAAGTCATGTGTTGTGTTATGTTATGTCGTGTCTTGTCCTGTCCTGTGTCAGTGCTTCATAAATTGTCTCTCCGTGGGTGTGCTTGTCAAAGTGATGTAATGTGATTTTTCATGATATTTACATCAATATATTTGTACTCATACTACTTGGTTTTATTCATATACACCCTCTGGGATGTGGATGTGTCAAATCCTTGAACAAGAGATTTAGCCCCTATTTGACCCCCATTTTCTAAAATTGATTTTGCCTCAAAATCATTTTCAACACGTAATTTTGCTCGTGGACCCATGACTTTTCCCAACTTTTAACCACAAATTTTCGACAAAACAAACAAAAATAATAATAATAATAAAAAATCAGTTTTAAAAAAATCTAGTCTCTAAAAATTTCTACCAAACAGCCTTAACTACTAAACGCAACTTTTATGGTTGCAATATGAAAATTCTCGATATCTGGTATAGCTTTGGCATCTACTTAAGTTACCTTAAACCAGAAATTGATTTATCAGCAGAGTAGTTTTCATATGTTGAGCAGGGTCATTGATCTATGGCGTTGATTAAATATATTGTGGTAAATACAGTGTTTATTCAGGGACAGTTGCTGGGGCTCGGGAAGCATTTTTACATGGTTTACCTTCCGTCTCTTTATCATACGACTGGTATGTATACATTATTTGTCTTAGCCATTGATGTCGATTAAAATTTTGTTTATACCCACTTTTCTAATATTAAATGAAGGATCATGTTACAAAAAGTTTTACTGGGTGTGGACCACACAATCTGCATTTTTGAATTCACGTGGGGTCCGCATTTTTTGTGAGTATGTATATTAATCCTTAAAGAGGATATAGCCATAAGTCAATTGACTTAAATTTCAAGAATAAATCAATTCAATTTGAGTTGCCAAGAATCCATGAAGTTTCTTCGGGTAGAAATGTCTGGTATAAATAAACCAGGGCGTACATACAATCCCTCTGTTTTTTACTGCACCCGTAGAACCTCCAAATAGATATAATCTTGCAACGCTGTATTCTTAATTCACTTAAAGGTTCAAATATAGCTTTTAAAAATACGTTGAGAATATAATGAATAACGAATTGCTCTATCAGGTAGCCTACTGCAGTGAAGGAGCTACAGGAAATAGTCAGGTTCCTATTACAAAGGCATCATCAGCCACTGGCTTATCATTAATAAAAAGAAAAATAGAAAACAATTAAAGCTCTTGAATTGAAGCTAAGAAATTTGCTAGTCTAGAAGTCATGATATCTGCATTCAGAGGGTGAATTGGAACATTTCTGATGCCATTGGTTGGCGTGCCATGTAGGCCACCAAATTTCACTTCTGCTCTATGTTCTTATATGACTGATAAGTGAAATGATGATAACTTAATTTTAAATATTTTTGGCACCTGTGACTAAGACAAGATAAACGATGTTTATTGCATCTGTTGTAAAGATGGATTCCGTGTGGTTAACTAATTATTGTACAAAAATCAATTGTTATTGTACCCATCCGATATTTCTTTCAATGACGGGGATTGTTAGAGAAGCTGAATGTAATGGCTTGTTTGAATTTCTGACTTCCAGGGCAGGAGGTAGGAGTAATGTTGATGATTTTACACTGGCTGCAGAGGCTTGCTTACCCATTATTATTTCCATTTTGTCTGAAATTAAGAGGAACACTTATCCTCAACACTGTTTTCTAAATATAGACGTGCCAACAGATGTCCGCAGTCATAAGGTAATTTGATGGCTTGCTTTGGCAACACTGTTTCGTGCTACCTCCAAGGATTAAGATAAGGTGTTACAAACATGGAGTATCCTATAATGTGTCTGCATTTAGGTGGTTCAACTGCTTCATTCTCACCATTAACGTGAAATAGTGGAAATTTATGCATTTCTTCTTGTATATTTGCCTCTTTTGCATGTCTCTTAACCCTTTGGATTTTTCACCATTATGGCTTTTCTGATTTAGTGATACAGTTATTTTCATTGCAACAAGATCACTCTTTGCCTTCCTCTATCCCTATTTCTTCTCACTTCACTTCCCTTTCCTTACTTTAATTTGAATGTTGTCAAGTGTCTATTTTGCTTGAGAGTAACCAATTTTTATTTATTTATTTATTTTTTTCATTGCATGAATGTAAAGAGGAGGAAGTTGAATGTTGTTTTTGGTACTCCGACAGGGTTATAGAATGACTAGTCAGGGCAAGAGTATGGTGAAAACGGGATGGAGGCAAGTTGGATCTGATGCCCAAGGAGCAAGAATGTTACCAACTATGACCATGGAATCAAATTCATCATCATCTAATGAATCAGATGCTCTAAGTACACCAAATAACCACCTTCTATTCAATAGAAAAGTATGATTTCTTTCTTTTCTTCCTCCTTGCACATTTTACTGGGACATCCATTTTTTCCATTACAACTATATTCTTCATGGAACTGTAGTTTTTCTAATTCCTTGCGTTGTTGATGCTCATTCATAAGTATGCATTGTAATATTCCATGACCAGCTAAGATAAGGATATGGATGGTAAAATATGTTAATATATCTGTTTATTTCTGAGTATTGGACTAATGTTAACCTATTTCTAATGATAGTATTGAGGGCAATCAAGCTAGGGG